GTAAATGACTTCAAATGACTCATCGTCCCTGTAAGGACTAAAAATGAAACCAGTCCTCACAAAGACAGCCTGACGAGCGCGCACACACACAGTGGGGTTTCCATCCCTTCCTGTGGCCTTCTCTGCACTGATCGTTCCTCTTTTATCTTTTGTTTCACTTCCACAGTTCATGTGTCTGGCAAAGCCAGAAATTTAAAAGCCAGAAATGAAACTGAGTGCGTGAGCTTTGGTCCCAGAGCTCAACTGAGTTTCCTCTCCTTATACTACAGCACTGTTTGACAGTCTGAGAGGAGCAAACACAGCCTCACAGTTCATTAACCAGATGTGTTTTTTATGTTTTAAAATGTTTAAAGATGTTTGAATAGACTTGGAAGAAAAGGTTTTATTATTCCTTTTACTCCTAAAACCATCATAACACTGTAACTTATTTTAATATTTAAAGTAAGTATTAATTAGACGGACCAGATGTCAGCTCTTCCTCATCATTTTAACCCTTCAACAGAATCATCCAGTCGACTGGTTGTAAAATTACAAAACAATTCTCATGTTTTGGGAACAATTTGAGTTTCCTCCCTGGTGTAAACAGTAACGGCGTTACAGCCATTAAAAATGGCCGAGCACCGAGCCAATGGTAACAAAGGCTAACCTCTAAACTTGTTTGGCTCCTGCACTTCATTTTTTCCCGTCTCTGAACATCCGTCACCCGGCGGCTGGTTTCTCCACGCTTCCTCGCGGCCATGAGTCAAAGTTTCGTCTTTCTCTCAGAGTTCATGGCTGATGTGGAGCGAGGGGCCCGCTCCATTTTACGAGGCCTATGTGCGCTCGGCTCCTGTAGTTACAGGGATTTTACTGCGTGTGCCTTGGACACCGGCCCGGGAACGCTCGTCTCAGAGTCAGAAATGATCCGGAGAGAAAAGAGGCCCAAACAGCCTGGCTCCTCCGGGTTTCCGGCTGCTAATGGAGACAATTAAAGGCAAGAGTTCATATGTGAACGCGGCCGGGCAGATAAAGCTGGAGGAAGGAGTCTCCACGAGCCGACCCCGTCCCACCGAGTCCTCTGAGACAAGGCCACTCGTTCACTCTGACCTCGCTCACCATCAGCTACACTATGAATTATGGGATGTCATTATGTCCTCTCTTTTCATAAAGGATGCTCCAGTGTTACCTACCCTAAGGAGGTAATGAAAGAAGCACTGAAGCTCCTTATTCAGTAAAAAAGGGAAAGAAATGTGTCAATAGTCCCAAAGTTTCCTACTTATGTCATGATTCTATTTACCGTCCTTTTGCTTCCTTCTTTCTCTCATGCTTTTCATCTGTCCTTCCATCCTTCCTTCTTCCTGCCCTTCCTTTCTTTTTCTCCTTTCTTGATTCCTTCCTTCTTTAATTCTGCTTTCTGTCCTTTTTTTCTTCTTTGCTAACGTTTCTTCTCTCCTTCCGTCCCTACATCTGTCCTTTCCTTCTCCTTTCTTTCTTCTTTCTTTCATTCGTTCCGTCTCTTTCCTTCCCCTTTTCCTCACTTCCTTTCTACTTTTACTCCTTTCTTTCCTCCCTAATTCTTCCTTCTTTTCCTGTTTTCTAACTTCTTTCCCTTAATCCTTGATTTCCGTCATTCCATTTTCTTATCCTTGTTTCTCTCTTTCTTCCTTCCATCCTTCTTTTCCTCCTTCTGTCCTTCCCTCATTAAACCCACTCTCGTTAGGCTGCAGATACTTCAGGAAGTAACTAAACTCAAAGGCAGGAAAAAGTGGGATTACATGGACCGTGAAGTGTTGGTGGGCGCATTCTTCAATTCTAACTTCCATTCTCAGTTTGTTAGGAATAAATCTGACGAAGCTCCGCCTCCTGAAGTCTGACGCTTGTGGCTTTAATGAAGCTAAAGTCTGACGGTCAGAGGGTTAATTCTCCCTCTGTTGTGTCTGCAGGCGGAGCTGGCGTGCTTGCCTCCTGCACAAACACAAGCGTATCAGATGAAGCACATCTGTCACAGCTGGCATTATGCTGACAAAGAGGAAATTGATTTTTTGTTCCCATCACAGGAGAAAGCAGCAGATGGGTTTGCTTTGAGAAGGACTTATGAATTATTGGTGAGCGCCATCCTCCACCAGCGATCTGAGGAGGTTTCTGTGGTCTCAGAGTGAAGAAGAAACCAGCAGCTCAGAAACAACCTCCATGTTTCTGTGTTAAAGTGATGTTTATAGTTTCATAGACTAACTGTTAATTCAGACTTAAAACCCAATCAGTGGAATAAAAACGTCTCTAAACATTTTGAATTAAAAAAATTTGAATTTCGGTTAATTAATTCTGACTTTAAGCCCTGCTTTGAATTCGTGAGGCTGTTTATGGTGCTGATGTTTGTATTCCAAAACAAATTTAACATAAATTAAGTTGTTTGAATTATTATTTATGTTAAGATTTAGAATTAACTATTATCAAAAACAATTTAAAGAAACTGTTTAAAAATTTGACCTTTCACTTTGTTTCTTCCATAATTCTAATTTTAAAAGTTTAATTAAAAAAACAACTAATTTTGACTTCCCCGTCAGTTAGACTGAAGCAGCATTTTTTAACAATAACTTAAGAATTAATTAAAAAATATACTTTTTCTTATGCTCGAAAAATCTCGTCACGAATGAGCTTCCATACTGTGGCTCTGCTACGATGGGGCTCGCGACGTGTTTAAGAGCATTTTCGTGGATCTGAGGCCGGAAGTGAAAGTGCTTCTTCCTGCTCAGATTAAACTGAAGCTCCGACATTAACGCGGCCTTTTCCTCCTTTATGTAAGTGACGCGGTAAACAACACAAATAAGGAGGAAATGATGAAACCACTTCCCGCGGCTCTCCGTCTCACCAACCGAGCCGCCCCTGCCTCTGCAGCCGGCGGAGGGGAGCCCCGCGGCGGCCTGGAGCTCCTGGAGGCCGGGTCGGTAGGACGGAGAGCTGCGGGAGGGGGACAGGTGCAGCTCGGCCTCTCACGACAACAAAGCCGCAGATGATCGACGGGAAGGCCCCGCCCTCTTCTCAAGCAACGATTTTACGTGATTGCCGTAGTAACTCTAGAAGAGGCGCACGAGACTTTAGGGGGCGTGTCGCTTCTCTGCGGCATGCGCTCAATCAGAGAGAGGTGGGGAAGGGGATGGTGGGGGGGGGACTTATGTTGTAAGTGACGTAATCCCGAAATAAAGGCGCAAAAGCAGCATCCCTGCAGGTCCCTGACACCAGAGCAGGGCCCGCCTGTGGGAGCTGGCCTCACCCAGACCTGCAGACACAGATCACATCTCCCAGCAGCCAATGACAGTTAAATACACCCATCTGCATCAGGTCGTCATGAAAGCATCTGATCCTGAGTCTGTTCTGTTTCAAATCCGTGTTAAGTGTAAAAATCTGTCAGCTGTCTGAGTCAAACCGAGCCTCAGATGTGAGCGGTGAAGTGAGTCACTCCACCTCCTCCCAGCCCTCCAACACAAATATCCACTGCTTCTGCCTTTAACAGTGAAAATGATATCGACATCGGATCAAAGTCCTGGTTATCTAACACATCGATACACAACAAAGATTCTTCCATCTCTGACGGCACATAAAAGATACCTCAGCAGCACACTTGGATCAGGCTTCAGGTGACTCTGAGTCAAAGCTTTATGAACTCTGTGAAACACGTGTTTGAAAGTGGCTTCGTTGGTCGACAGAAAAGAAAGATGGCTCTTCAATGGGAGTGAGCGTGTCTCTGGTGGACGGGCAGCTCTGTGTACAGAGCTCATGAGCCTACATAAGACTTGTTTTTACTGCACAAACAAAGGCTGACTCATTTCCAATGCAAACCTGCGACGCATGTGGCTCAGAAAACCGACAGAAACCAGGCTCCTGAACACAGCAGGAACCCGGCACGACCTCAGCCTGAACACCTGCAGAGGCACCGAGCTCCTCTGATTTTACTAACTCCTAATTTAAGATGTTTGGGGTGGGGCTCAGGAGGTTGGGGGTTCACTCCCTGCGTCCTCCAACCTGCATGTCGAAGCACCCTTAGGCAAGATACAGAACCCAGAGTTTCCCCGATGCATCCATCAGAGAGTGTGTGTGTCTGTATGTGTTTGTCTTGATGCTTCCTCTCAGAGGTCGATTTGAGTCTAACGAATAAACTTTAACAGTCGTATAAAGGTGCTCTACTTCACCATGGTAACACTGCAGGTGTGAGGCTATGTGCTGTCTCACAGAGCGTGGATCGTGGCCTGCGTGAGGGGACAGTTTGCACATTAACACCATGAAAACGAGCTGCTGGCTCATTGTTAGTCAGTGCTGCTGGTTTCAGTTCTGCAGCTGTGCTGTTTATAATGTGTCAGCTGACACTGAGGGACACGCTCAGCAGCAACTTCCTGTTCTGTCTCACCTGGATTACTGAGCATGTGGCGGGAAAATTCCTGTTGGTGTGCAACACTCAGAGATGGCAGCGTTTCAAAGCTAGCACTGCTCAGCAGTTTCAGTCCTCATGGTTATTATTTGTGGATGAGTACACGGTGAGACCTATCCCACTATCCCAGCTGCCAAACAGCAACGGGCGGGAACGCCCCACGGAGGTCGCCCATCTGCACCCTGCAGAAAAAGTTCATGACACATCGGGTTGACCCAGACTGCAGCTACTGCGGTTGGTCTGCAGCATCGCTTCCTAAGGAGCATTTCACCCACTGTTTGAGTTTATCTGTGAATAACAATCAGCACAGAGAACCACAATTACAGCTTCAACGTGAGGAGTCACTAATACCAAAGCAACTTCAGGCAACTGTTGTTGTGATTTGGTGCTAATAAGTAATCCTGAAGTGACTTGAACAGAGAGACTGACGAAGCTGTCGGGAACGTGCAAACTGGAAAACCATGAGGGACAAATATGTTTGACCTGAGAAACCAGAGAGCAAGGACCCAGGAGCAGAGGAAGTCCTATCATTTTATTTTCCATCATCTGATATCGCTTCTAAATCAGCGAGAGAAGACCACACTAACACAGAATGCTAAGCATGAGCAGAAATACCAACAGTGATGCAAAGATTCCCCACGGAAGCCTGAATCCACCTTTGTATAACGTTGGGATGCTAGCATTAATTAGCATATGTCTGTGTGATGCTCCCTGTGGATCAAGCAGCTTGCACACCTAGCATGCTAGCATAAGTTGATAACTCCACCCTCACTTCGGGCTCCAAGATCCAGCTCGGTGACGGAGGCGAGGCTTCAAAGGGCGGAGCTCACCGGCAACAGTAGCCTGTGGCCATCTTTTATATACAGTGTGTGCTGCGGCTCCACTAAATGCATAAGGTCACAGAGTTTAGGATTCACATTAATTAATAATGGTGCTTTTGTGTGCTGGAACACGTCTATGAGCAGCTGCAGCAGATGCTGAGGCTGGTCCCGGGTCAGCTGCAGGCTGCAGTCTGATGTTTGGGAATGACTGATGTTATTTTCTCACAGCCAAAATGGCGTGACTGACTGCAAGGGCGCGAGCGTGGGCCAAGACATGTGGGCGGGAAAATGCTGCTGCGCCTCTACTCGGGTCTTTCCGGCCTCCTCCGGAGCGGCTGAACACGCGCGACTCACAGAGCAGCAGCAACCGCAGCAGCAGCGCCGAAGAGCCGCTGGAGGAGCTCCGCGACCCGCCGCCGATTTTAACCCAGATTTCCGTCGGGAACTCGGGAAGGCGGTGGGCTGGGGGCTCGGGCACAGAAGAATGAGAGAGCCCTCTCACCGCAGGGCGCGCAAACATGAACGGGGCCGTGTATATGTCGTTCTTCCAGGGCCAGCTGGAGTCCGTGCTCGAGCAGGTCGTTCAGCTCGCTGTCCAGGAAATAAGCAAGACGGTGGGCTCCAGCCTGAATGGCCTCCTGCTGGAGACGGCCGTGAAGGAGCAGGAAAACCGCCGGCTCGGGCTCCAGCTCCAGGCGCGGGAGAAACGGGGCCGAGCCTCCGCTTCAGACGACGGAGGAGGAGGAGGCTCCCCGGTGGCTGGTAAGAACAAAGCCGGGGAGAGGGCGGATAGCGGGCGGGCGAAACCCGAGCAGCAGCCCGGGGGACAGGGCACGGGGCCTGGCGTGCCCACCGACACACGCCGTCTGGAGCAGAGAGGACGAGTCGTGGGTAGGCACCCGTTACACAACACACACACACACACGTTTCACTTCCTATTAATCCCGTTTTCCAAAAGCAAACAAACAAATATGCCTGCTGGCCAGCAGGAGGCGCTGTGAGGCAGCCCTCGTGCTCCACACTGTTTCACTTTAGTTCTGACAAATTCAACGTAATTATGACGTCATCCATAACTGAACAATCAGCTTCCAAACAATAACGCCGTCCGACACAGTGTTCGGTCTCAGGTGGACGACAAACGACGTGTCGGACGCCACCTCGGCGTCCTTCCAGGTCGACTTACGGTGACCTCGCCCGGACGTCAGCCTTCAACAAGAAACCGTAAAGCACCGTGTGGTGGGACGCCTGGGCGCCCGCTGAGCCCTGATCCAGGAGCCTGCAGTGTTCGGTGGACACGAGTTACTTGATGATTTGTGAACGATTCCACGTGTTTTAGTGGTTTTTTCGTGACATTCGGAAGCTCGCTGGATTTGACATGTATTTCACGGGCTCGAACTGGTTTCCATGGAAACACTGCGACCAGTCTGAGAACAGCTGGCTGTGGCGTTTGGAGGCGATGCTACGTGTTAGCACGTGCAGGTGTGATGTCATCTTTTCGATGAAAAAAGGTGACGCCTGCAGGTGATTGGACGAGAACTCTCGTGTGCTGGGGGAGCATTTCCATTGGTTCTAATGTGTCTGTGACACAGGTGAAGCTGGACGCAGTGACCCTGCAGAGAAATGTGGACTTTGCGTGTAATCGTCCGTCTGAGCGTCACGTCAGAGACGGTAACGCTGCAGCTTCACGAGGAGAAGTCGAGGAACTCGAGTGTGAACGTGGCAGGGCTGAAAATAAAAAGCGAGGTGTGCAGCCGAGGATCGTAAAACAAGCCACGCCCTCCCGCAGGAAAGGAGTTGTGCTGGTGAGGAGGAGGGGGGCATGCAGAAGACCGCAGGAGAAAGGGAGGAGGACATGCTGACTATCAACCTGACGCAGTGACTTGAGTGATGCCTCAGTGACGTTTCATGGATGTCGGGTCAGATTCATCAGCCGGAGCACGACCGCTCCGGGCCACGGGTGTCCGCAAGTGTGGCGTTCCTCATTTGTGGAGGTGGGAGGAGCCTGCCGGAGAATCATGTGGAAAGAAAAGACTTCACAGCACGAAGCTGATTCGGCCGGTGGCACGATTTCAGTACTCTTCCACACAGGTGATGACCGCACAGGTGCCCGTCCTGTCGGGTCATGATCACCCTGCAGGAAGCGGCTCGGCTGGAGTCAGAAGGAGGTCATTACAGACTGGCGTCTCACGCCTACGTGCTCGTTTCAGGCTGAATGTGTCGGCACATTGTCTGTTGGCGCCCTGCGCTCTGACAGAGTCCAGCTGCGTTGGTTCACTCTGAGGTTAAACTCGTAACTGTCACGCTGCTCTGAAATCCTCCTCGGTCAGTGTTTCTCTGTGGATGATTCACCATGACGCTGAAGTCAGACCCGAGTGGACTCGTGGATGCAGAAACTGAACCCACCCCCGCACGGTATGTTCGCCTTACTCGCCATTACAGTCAGGTCCCTGCGGCAGGATCCTCCTGAACGCTCGCTCAGACAGACCCAAAGAGCTCTGAGCTCTGCTCATGCCGTCTTTGCAGGTTTTAAACTGTGAGCACTTTGATTCAATAACATGATTTTTTCCAGATGTTTACATAATCATCTCACTGCACAGCAGGTTGGAAAAATGTCTGACGAGCAAACGTCCGCCCGCTGTTCAGCAGCTGCCGTGTTTAAGGATGAGAAACATTTAATTTATCACACGAGCGGGAAAGACGTCAGGAGTGTGAGGGACTCCACTTTATCCTGAAATTCCCACAAAGACTCAAGGAAAAAACAGGAAATGATTTGAATCGGAGTAACCCCACGATGAGCGCCCGCTGTGCTGAGGTCTTCACGCCACACACACACTCTGTCTCTCACTGCACTGCAGCAGCGTCCACATGCAGGGACATGTGAGCAGGAGATAAAAGACGCTCTCTCGCATGCATGCACACATCTGTCGACTGCAGCACACAAACACGCTGCTGAGCCCCACCCACGCCGAGATTACTAGGTCACCGTCATGCATCACCAGAGTTCAGGATATCAGCGATGGCGGCGTCAGAAAGCATCAGTTCACTTCCTAACGTCCTCATACACACCCCACAGGTCAAAGGTCAAACTGCTGTGTGTGGATAGAAAGGATGACGATGCTGAAGGGAAAAGCTTTGACGGTCAGACGATGCTTGACAGCTGGTGAACCCGGTGAAAGCCTGAGTTTCACAGAGTGTCACTGAAGTATCCCCAAATCGTAGCGTGCTGAAAATCCTCTGATCCGCGACGGCTGCTCGGCTGCTAGCAGCTTTAATGAAAGTCGTTGTCACTGTGACAGAACCATCAGCCAACCAATCAATCGATCAATCAAAGTTTCAGAAAATAGTTGTTTTAGTTGTGTGAAGCTCTGCCCTGCTGGGCGCTGTTCAGCTGGCCCTGCAACCTGTTTCATCATGAACTGTGATTTCACAGCCAGTCTCTCCAATAATTAGCCCCGCCCCCATCTCTGTTCCACAGACCAGCTGAAGTCCGTCATGGAGCACGTCCTGGACTTCGCCGTGCGTGAGCTGACGAAGATCGTGGAGGCGTCATTCGACGACCTGCTTCTGGAGATCACCAAGATGGAGCGAGAGCAGCAGCTGCTGGAGAAGAGGCTGGGAAAGGGCGCTGAACGAGGAGGCGGGGACAAAGGGAAAGGCGGCGGTAGGGGGAGGAGGGGCTCAGAGAACGACTCTGTGTCCCCGAGCGGCTCAGAAGACGCCCGTGAGGAGGTCGCTGTGGTCACTGCGTCCAAAGAGACGCCGCAGACACACGGTGAGTGATCAGCTGGAAGGAACTGAGTGTCGTACTCTGACCGGCTGGTTGGTTGTGATTGGCTGTCAGTGAGCCTGACTGGGTGTGGCTGGTGTCCTGTTTTGTGTTTCCACAGGTGAGTCAGATCAGGTGTGTGGAGTGACTGTTATTTTAGCTGAAGCTAACCTTCCTCCTCCCCCTCTTTACCCCCCCCAGTCCCGGAGCGTCCCCCCGTCCTGTCTGTCTCTCAGGACTGGGTTCCCATCCTGGACAAAGTCTTCGGTCAGAAGTGGTGCAGCGACGTCTGGAACGTCAAAGAGGTTGGCGGGGGTGGAGGAGGAGGAAGTGGGCGGGGGTTAGGAGAGAGTGTGACTCATATTGTCCCCGCCCCCACCCCGGCAGTGACCCTGGAGCCCTCCCCCTCCTCCCCACAGCAGGACCCCCGCTGGACTCCTTTGGAGGACATGGAGGTGTTTTCTCCCGATGAAGATGAAGCTGCGGGCAGTCTGATAAGCGCTGCCGCCGCTGTCAGACCTCCACCCGGACCTCCACCCGGACCCCCCCTCAGCCCCACATGTGAGGCACCTGCAGTTTATCCTCAGTGCTTCAGGAAACAATGTAACATTAACAGGTTTATGTGTGATTAAATAAGAAGGAAATACTCAGTAGTAACATTTTAACATCTGAGAGCGTGACAGTGAAGTTTACGCTTCCTAAAGCAGCGTGAATGGAAACAACTGGATCCTATAAAAAGAGCAACATTAATGATCAGTTATATGTACTAATATGTATTTTTCCAGTATGTATATGTTTTCATACATATATGTATGAGTATTGCATGGCTGCGTTTTAGTTTTGGGTGCGACCTGTCCAGGTGTGCCCTGCCTCTCACCCTGTCACAGCCGTGATAGGCTCCACCCCCCATGACCCTGATAAGGAGAAGTGGGCGAAACAGGATGCATGATTTTTAGTTTCATGAATAAAAAGTCAGAAAACTTAGTGTTTGTAAAAATATCTGATGATGTTTTTATTGACACTGAGAGGAATCTGAAACCGTGACCTTTGACCTCGCTCCCTCCTTCAGGTCAACGGTCCTCAGCCTCCATGCTTCATCGCCTCCTCACGCTCCCCTCCCAGCTGCTTGATGAGGATGAGGAAGCCACCGCCAAGGAGACGCTCGGCTGTCTGGCGTTTGACGGCTCCATCAGGCCGCAAGACGCCGTCGAGCCGCCTGCTCAGACTGGCAGAGAGGAGGAGGAGGAGGAGGGAGAGGAGGAAGACGAGGAGGATAAAGGGATGAAGGTGAGGAGCGCACAAGAGGGCAGGAAGCAGACAAAGGTTGATTTTTAATGTTTAGATGGCGAGCTGACATCTCTTCCTGTCTTTCAGCGGAAGCGGCGGCGGGTTTGGTCTGAGTGCGAGGAGTGCGGCCGCAGGTTCAGCCGGATAGCCCTCCTGAAGGCTCACCGCCAGACTCACAGCGCTGGAAACGCCGCCACATCATCGCCTTCATCGCCGCCCGCCGGAGCTGCCTCGCCACTCCGCTGCTCCGACTGCGGCAAAAGGTTCTCCTCGGCAACACGTCTCCACAGCCACATCCGGACTCAGCATCACAGCGACCAATCCTGATCTGGGACCAGACGGTACGCAGGCGAGAGCAGCAGGACGTTTTATTCTGTTACACAGACAGTTTGGAAGGCCACAGGAAGTAACTGCAAAACTGACCTCTAATCAGAGCGGCCTGCTCTCATTGGTACCCCCGGAGCAGGATCCCGGGTTCTGAACGATCCGGCTCAGCGACAGGAAACGTTAGAGCGAAAACGTTCTGCCAAAGTTTTTTTTTTTTCTAACTTTGATGTTTGTTTCTTCAAATATTTAAAATTCCTGAAAGTTTTCAGGTCTCTAACTTTTTTATTTCTCAACCAGAAAAACTTTAGACAAAACAGAACACAGTCGCGGGCTGCGTCTGAAGTTCGTTTCGATTATTTTCAGATTATTTTTTTAATTCAGTAATTTTTCTGAAATTTGAGCTCAAAACAGAAAGAAATCTAAAATTGTCACGTTTACTAACATTTGGTCTGGAACAAACCGCTGAAACTGTTTGATTTCAGTTTGACAGGAAGACGAGCGAGGAAAAATCTGACATTTATTTGAAGTTTATTAGAACAATTTCAAAATTAAAGCCTCAAATTCAGGAGGAAGATCGGTGTAAAGTCTGCATGTCTTTGGGTTTATACGGAGGCCAATTCGCACATTTGAGAACCTGGAAACGTTTTTTGGAGGTGACTCGACAGCGTGAATCTGAACCAGTGCAGAAACTTTTGAGGCGGAGGAGGTCAAAGGTCAGGGGTAACTGAGGGAAAACACGCACACATCCTCCTCCTGTAAATTGTAGGCTTGTTTTGGCTTCTTTGCTCACTGCCTGCTGGTTTGTGTCTGTGCGGCGTGCACACGTTTTCTACTCGTTTGGTTTTGAAGTGCCCTTTTTTAGGTTTCTCTTTGGATTATCGTCGAGTCCATGTCTGTGGTTTTATCAGCGTTCCTCGATCAACTCCGAGGACGAAAACACACAGGGAAGGAACAACTTCCTGTCCATCGGAGGGGTCTTCAGTTCCAATGCGAAGCTCAGCGGTGAGCTCCTTCCTCCTTCCATCTCACCAACACAAAATGTGTCACACTTGCAGAATTTCTTTGTTTTCTCATATTTTGTTGTTCAGACATAATTGAACTCCATGAAGCTACGAGTCGCCTCAGCGTTAGCATTTTACCCACAGCTCAGACTGGTTAAACCAGCTGAGCTCACAGCAGTCATATTATGGGGTGAGGTGAAGCTAGCAGCTACAGCCGCCTGTGTCACCAACCACCTATCTGAGGCCACGCCCCTAATAATGCAACCTTTAAACAGGTGAGTTGTGAAAACATTCTGCCCCGTACAGGAAATGATCCACAGAGACCAATGTGTTTATTTTAACATGGGAGTCTAGGGGGGCTGACTCACTGCTGCCTCTGCTGGGCGTCAGAGGAACTGCAGTCAGTTTTTATCATGAAGGCTGGATTATGAGATTGAAACTTTGACTTATGGTAAATGGTAAATGGCCTGTATTTATATAGCGCTTTTACTAGTCCCTAAGGACCCCAAAGCGCTTTATATATCCAGTCATCCACACATTCACACACTGGTGATGGCAGCTACATTGTAGCCACAGCCACCCTGGGGCGCACTGACAGAGGCGAGGCTGCCGGACACTGGCGCCACCGGGCCCTCTGACCACCACCAGTAGGCAACGGGTGAAGTGTCTTGCCCAAGGACACAACGATCGAGACTGTCCAAGCCGGGGCTCGAACCGGCAACCTTCCGATTACAAGGCGAACTCCCAACTCTTGAGCCACGATCGCCCCCCCTTATTCTTCATTAATTCAGGATTTTGTAGGCTGTGAAACATTTTGATTTTATAAAGGCAAAATCTTCACTTTTCTTGCACAACTGGGCTTCCGTAGGTCATCAGCTGGAACTGATTCTAAGAATTGACCTTTGGTAAGTCTGCTGTGTCCGCTACGGAAGCCCATTCCTACCAAAAAACATAACATTCGGTTTCACTTTGAGTGGCAATTTTTTTCCCCCTGAATTAAATTTTTTTGCTTTAACATTTGCATTCTTACATTTTTCATTATGAATTTCAAATTTTTCACTCTGTCAAATAGTTAAATGCAACGTAAACATCTGTTTTAAGTCTTTTAGTGTTCGCCAAGTCAAACTCTGAATAAGAAAATCTAAAGATTTATTCTGCGTGTCGTTTTCATGTTTTGCTGGAGGAAGAGGATGGAGGGAGGAAGGATCAGGTGACAGGAAGTTATTCATCCTGAGAGTTAGTTTTTATCTCTGAGAAACGTCAGCACGAACAATCACAGAATCCGTTGTTTCACGCTGTGTAAATGTGTGAACCTTTTTTTCAACTCTGAAGCAATACGATGGCGAGCTCTGCAGAGCTCCGTGGTTCAATTTGAATAAGGACCAGAAATGCACAAAATGAAACCGTCTGCGAGCCGGGGCCGTCTGACCGTTGGAGGATCCAGAACTCTGGTCACCTCAGGCGAAAATCAGACTTTTTTTTTTTTTTACTGTCCTGTCTCTGCTTCACCGACCGCTTCGTCTCGTTTTCGTACCTCATTTTTCAAGTGTTTCTTTGACTTCCTGTTTCCATGAGACCTCATTACCTCAGCTGAAGCGCAGCGGCGAAATCTCACCTGATCAACGAGCAGATTTTAGTTTTTTCCCCAGGCCTGGTCTGACATAAAAACCACTCGACATGAGATGTTTCTTTGTTTTTTAGGACTTTATTCTTTGAACGTTTGATTCATACGGAATCCAAAATCTGACAAAAAATGTTTGGTTTTTTTGGTTTTTTGATATCAAGTTGAGTAAATAACTGTTTACATTAGTGAAGAATTTAAACGTGTATGTAAACACAGTAAAAATGAAATTCTTTTTATTGTCAAACAGAAGTTTAATTTTCTGTCAGGACTGTGGCTGCTCCGTGTGTACAAAATCAGGTGAAAAGAAAAGCTCGCTTTTGTGGTTTTTACGCACCGGCGGCAGAAGGATCGGACGTTCCGTTAAAGTTCAGAAAATCCTAATCCTGAGCTCAATTTGGCCGATCTCTCTTTAAGGCTTCCTCCTTGTGCGCCTCCTGCAGCCGTCCCTCGCTCTCTCCTGTTCTTCAGCTGACGGATTAACCAGTTTGCCCTATCCCAGCATCCTTCTCTGCAGCAGCCTTTCCATCAACTGTGTTGGCCAATAGGAACGTGGCAGAGCGCCCTCTGGTGGACAGACTCCAACACTGGCACTCCTGACGTGGCTGTGCGGCGTTTCTTTGGTCTCTACTTTAGTTTTCATGTATCAGGGGTGGTTAAAGCTGTAGACAGATGAGGAATGCCAAACACCGGGCGGCGGATAAATCAGGACGTAAAAGCTTTTTTCAGCTGCTCCGTGAATCCTCGGGTCTCCGTGGCCTTCCTGACAGAAGCCCAGAGCTCTCCTTTTACTTCAGATGTGTGAAGCGCTAAATTTGCACTGTTATTATTTTATTTAATATGATTTTAGGGTTCTGGACCTCTAAACTGTGCATATATGAACAAAGCTACAAAACTGCTTTGTTCAAATTTCTACATTTCAGTAAAAACTGAGAACTTGTTGGACTTTTGAAAACCTCGTGTGGCTGCTTGTGCTGACAGAATTAACCGAACCCAGAACCTAAAGTCCAGACTGTATTCTTCCCATCGGTCGGGCCGGATCGCTCCATTCGTCAGATTTTACTTCCTGAGAGTTGAAGCCTGAAGCAGCTTCACTCGGCATAATGGGACAGAACTCTGGGAAAACTGGGCGGAGGTGCCAGAGGAGATGACCTGAATGAGAGATCACAGGTTTATGATGACGTCAGGCCTTTTTTTCTATATGTCACACAGCTGCCATCACAGGCCATAAATAGACTGTATGTAAAAGATGTGCATAAACAGTGGTCAGCGCATTTATGAAGAGTTGAGCTGACGGATTTTACCGTCTCAGCTTTCAGAAAGCAGACGTGATGCAAGACGATGGATTTCTGCACCGACTTCCGTACTTCCTGTCCCTCCGTGACTGATGGGACCAAAATCTCCAAAATAAACTTCCTGTTTTCTTCAGTCAGACCTGAACCATAAACACATCAGAACAGGGTTTGCTGAGCTCAGATCAGCTGAGCAGGATGCTCATTTTCCCATTCGGACCAGAGGAGCCGCCTCCTGCTGGACACTAGAGAACAGCCTTATGTCCATCTTTTATGTACAGTGTGTAGGAGCAAGCTTCGTCTGTTTGACCTTAATGCTGCCCTGAAGAGTCGGACCACTGATCGTTGGAGATATCATGTGACCTGTTTAACCAATGACGACAACTCCTCCTGTCCTTGTTTACACAGAGGAATGCATCTGCCTAGAAACAAACATGATATTAGAAATAACTTTGAAGAGGAGTGGCGTAACACTTTGTGTTTAAAAGCCTGGATATCAATAATAATACTGTGATAATACTGTCATCATTTGTTTATGTGCTGTTTGAGGCCCATGTTGGAGCTCCATTAAATCTGATCTAATCTCAACGCAAAATGCAAACTCTTTCCAGATGGTGAAAATTGAGTGAAACCCTGATCTCTTAAGTTATAATTAATGAGTAACATTTCCCTGCTGGTGGTCTTTATTCATTTGTTATGTTTGCAGCTGACCAGATGCATTTCTCTTCCAGAAGAGGTCCGTGGCTGTAACGCATCGTCGTATCATTTCTAGTACTGAAACATTCATGCAATCTCATTGCAGAGCTCTTTTTTTTTTTTTTTTTTCTTTTTTGTTAGCAGTGAAAAGTGGTTGTGTGGTACTCGTACTTCAGTCCTTTGTAGTTAAAACTTTGGGTGTGAGCAAAAAACTAATAAAGATCCTTAAAAGTTGGCGAGGAGTTCCTCAGGGAACAGACATGTGAATGAGGGGCGAACGGGTTTGTTTTCTTTTGTTTTTTTTCATGTTAATATTTCCAGTTGGAGGTTTTCCTGTAAGTCAGGCTCTTTGTGAAGACATGGGGGAACTTCATTTGGGGGTGGGTTTGTTTTAAACTTTAAATATGGATTTCTACTTCCTGTTTAACCTTGATGAACGCTGTATGTCAAAGAACAGTTCATCTCATTTTTTGGATGTGATGCAATACTTTTTATAAAATGTTCCCTGTTTTTTTTATTTTATTGGTTTTTTTTTTAATGGACATCAGCCAAATGGTAGATTGAATGCTTCAGGATTTGTTTTTGTTTTTTTAAAGGTCAGACTTGATGTGACCTTTGACCTTGTGTGACCAGTGTCAGTTCTGAGTGAGTTATCAGACTCTGATGTGTTGGTTGTTTACTTTGTGCCTGGTTTTATCAGCGCTGCATGGGCTGAATGTCATTAAACACCAACTTACAACGGTCTGCCATGATGATGATGATGAAGGCTACGGTGGCTGTTTTAAAAAAAGAAAAAAAAATGTATTGCCTGTTTTAGTCGAGCAGAATGGGTACTTTGTAGTGTTAACATTCAAAGGAAACAAATAAATGTTCATAACTACCGGCTGGAACGCTGACTGTTCTTTAACCTCCTAAGACCCGAACTCTTCCACGGCAGCATTTTTGATTTCTCTTTGATATTTGGGCATATTGGGGGCTGATGAATGTAAAAGCAAAGAATTACCAGATTTTTTTTTTCCTTATTTTTGTTTTTAAGAAAAATAAGAGCCACATATGAGGGTATTCGTTTAAAATTTTGATAGAACAGTAGCAGCATAATGTCCTCGTAAGTGGATATCAGGCCCTTGTAGAGCAAAATTGAGTATTTTGGTCTAAATAACCCCATATGTCCACATATGTGGACGCAGGTCCTAGGAGGTTAATGTTATTTCACAAATGTTCAGCAACTTGACCTGGTTGCTTCAACATTTAAACAAAATGCTGTTTAAACAGATAAAATTAAAAAAAAACCCTCAGAGACAAATGCTGTCTTGAAATATTCGTAGTCCACGTATGTATGAGGTTAAAGTGTTTCCAAATTTAGACTCAAATACAAAATGTTCATAAAGGCTAAAAATACCAAACTTTGACACAAAGCTTCTATAAGCTGCATCGCCTTGTCACAAGGGGGCGCCACAGTGGGTAATGGTAAATGGTAAATGGCCTGTATTTATATAGCGCTTTACTAGTCCCTAAGGACCCCAAAGCGCTTTACATATCCAGTCATTCACCCATTCACACACACATTCACACACTGGTGATGGCAAGCTACATTGTAGCCACAGCCACCCTGGGGCGCACTGACAGAGGCGAGGCTGCCGGACACTGGCGCCACCGGGCCCTCTGACCACCACCAGTAGGCAACGGGTGAAGTGTCTTGCCCAAGGACACAACGACCAAGGCTGTCCAAGCCGGGGCTCAAACCGGCAACCTTCCGATTACAAGGTGAACTCCCAACTCTTGAGCCACAATCGCCCCCCAACAGGTGGTAGGTCCACCTGTTTGATTTAAAGTGACCCCTGAAGGGGATTTGGGTCTGTGGAATCAAACCACACTCACTTTCACTTTGCCCTGAAACAAACACCTTGCCACCCCCTTCCTCAGCCAGTATTCACCTGATTGGCAGGTTTAAACAGCAGGTGGGTAGGGTCTCTTAAGATGACCATATAAGGACAGCCAATCTGTGTGACTGTGATCAACATTAACAATGAAAAAAAAAAAGTTCTGCATTAATACAAGGTGTATCAGAAACAGTCATCTGATTTCAAAAGGCTTTGAATAAATTTCAAGTTTTACATACACCAACTGGCAACTATGCGAATGACAGCTGTTTCATACACCTTGAACTTGTTTCTGTAAAATTCTGAACTGGTAGCAGGACAGATGGCGTGCTCTTATTTTTGATATTTTTTGCAGGAAAAAAGTATTTTATTTGAAAGATATTTTCAAAGACGCCCACCTGCTTTTGTTCAGCTAGCTGACCCCAGTTTTAGCAGCTGATACCCGCCTTAATAAAAAAAAAGACGCCGACCCCATGGACACGTGCTGACGTCACTCGCCTGCACTTGACTGCCTTGACCCGGCTCTGCGGGCGCGTGCTGTTCCCTATTGATTCATATTAACACACCGGCGCGTGCGGATGGAAACAAGCCGAGATCAAAGGGAGCGCGAGGGGACGACGGTGTCTGTGTTGCAACAATGTAGCGAGCGCATACCCGCCCCGCGCGCGCACACACCGAGAGCTGTACCCACCTACTACCGTTGTCATAGTTACCTACATACCCGACTGAACGGGTATGTGCACGAGCGAGAAGGGAGGGAGGGAAGGAAGGAAAGGGGGGGGGAGAAGCGAGAGAGGAAGGAGGGAGGAAAGGAAGGTAAGAAGGAGGGAGGGAGCGGAATTAGTCAGTGATAGAGGGGAGGAGAGGAGGCGAGGCGGCGGGTGTTCTGCCGAGGTGGACGTGGCGGGTCCGGCGGAGTGAGCTACGAGTGACGGGCAGCGGAGCCGAACCAAGGTGGACAGCCAGCCGGCCATGAAGCGGACCACCCGCAGGTAACGTCCGGCCGTTATCAGCCGCTTGCTCGGCGTCGCCGCGTCGCTCCGCTCGGTTTCCTGCAGTTTTACCGCGCCGCCGGACGCTCGATGACCGCCGTGCCGCCGCTCGGGCTCCGTAGTTTATTGGCTCCTTTTGTGTTGCGATGTCAGCCGCTCGCCGTAGCGCCGGAACCCCGTGGAGGGGGCCAGGCTAACCGCTGCCCCCGCTGCGCCCTCTCCCCGCCTCACTCTCACTTTCTCCCCCTGCTAGCAGTAGCAGCAGCAGCGCGCTAGTTTAGCAGGCTGCAGACGATAAACAAGATGGCCACTGGCTAGCTGCTAGCTAGCTAGCTAGCCAGCCAGCCAGCCAGATAGACATGGCAGCCTGCCCGTCTTTGTAGGGCTGTGAGGCGGCTGCGGAGCGTGTCCTTCCGCTGGCAGCCGTGGGTTTGTGTGTGCGAACCACAGTAAAAGTTGTGCAGAGTTGGCGAAGAATGTGGAGGTGTTAGAGCGAGAGCGGAGAGGAGCAACCTCCGGGGAGAACCACCGCCAGCAGCCCGGGAGGCAGGCAGTGCGGCGGCTGCGTGGCGAGTGGAGTGCTCGCGGGGTGACAGGTAATATGGAAGGGAGGAGCAGGTAATGTTCACCTGAGCGGCAGGGAGGCTAGGAAGCTGCAGCACTGTGCACAGAGCGGCTGTTCTACTTTACCTGAAAACTTTTCAGCGCATGTGTGTGGGAGGCCGCTGCATACACACAGCTGCAGCAGCTGACTGTCTCTTCTAATCACATCCTGCTCCTGCAAACAGCGCACCTCTGCAGGCCGACCTGTGCCCCATTTACATCTGCCACCACATCAGCTTTGTCTGCATGATGGCGGTGACCGGCTGACTGCAGTCTTACTGTTGTCATGCACCAGTGCAGAAACGGAACCGCAGCAGCTGTTTATAGGGATGTTCCCAAGAGTCATCTCTAACATTGGCGCTGGTATCTGCTCCCCTGAAAGTGTAAAAATTTTTGCTGTAAAGTTATTCAGACTGAGTTTTTCAGGCGTGCTCATGCTGCAGGTGCAGCCTCAAAACCTCAGTAGAGTCTCACCAGTCGCCACACATTAGGCGCCAGGGCCGGACACTAACGGTGGTGGCCTCAAGCCCCTGGGGGGCGGGGGGAATCCCAGGGAATCCTGGTTTCAAACTATGCTTGCATACCTGGCTTTCATGCTCAGAGGTGCTGCAGTGTTGGGGGTTTCCTCATGTCACTCTGATTGGCTTTAGCTGCTGTTGTCATGGTAAGCAACTCCTCTGTCTTCTCTCTACAGGCTCGTGATGGTCAGCCGTACCTGCTGACATCTGGCTGATCTTTCACTACGTCATCGTTTTCCAGAGGACGCTCTCAGGGACTCCCAACCCCCCCCCCAGCCCCTCCTCCTGTGAGGGCCAGCAGACTTCACCAGCAGGAGGGGAGTGGAGGAGGAGGAGGACTTTTACCAACCTCAGCGATACCTCAGGTGTTGAAACGGAGCAGGTGAGGAGGATTAGCTCCGCCCCCTCACCATGACAGACTTGGAGAGTGAGTGCCTGAGCCTGGGCCTGCCCCCCGAATGCGGCTCGCCTCCCCTGCCGCTGGACTCCTCCCTGCAGGTGGACTGCGGTGCCGGGCCCGTCGGCTCAACCCCGACGCCCACTCTGGCCCTCCTCTCCTCCGACTGTCCCACGCCCACGCTCAGTTCACTGGCGGCGGAGATCGCAGAGCCGCTGGTGATGCTGCCGTGCGTGAAGAGCGAGCCGGAGGACTGTGACCTGGAGCCCATCAGGACCGTGGACCTGTCAGAGATCCAGCCGCTGTCCACCGCCGAGCTGGGCCAGGACCAGATCAAGATGGAGATCAGTGGCCTCGACTACATCAAGTCTGAGCACCACGGGAACCACCACCTGGGGCCGTTTCACCACAGTGACGTAACAGAGCTGGACTACAAGTTGCACTACGAGCCGAGCTCAGTGTTCGACTACATCTCCCAGGTAAAACGCCAGAGGCCGGCAGCTGAGAGCGACGACGCTGTTATTGTGTTATTATCGTTATTGTCATTCGTGCTTTTTCAAAGTATCTTCATAAATTGGGTATAAAGTTTTTCACATTCTGTGAATAAAAGCGCCCACCAGAGTCCATTTAAAGTTCTGCTGATGTAACAGAAACCCTGAGGTTGTTTATCCTGTCAGAGCAGCGTAAAAGGCTCAGTCCAACTCAGACGCCGTCAACGCCAAGCTGTTTTTTTTTTTTGTTTGTTTTTTTACTTCTGTTGTGTTTGAAAGGTCTGAATATATTATATAAAGATGTGGCGTGTGTTTTGTTGTTGGTGGTATCTTTGTAGAAGTTTTGCGATCCATCCGAGGTGCGCTGTGAGTGTGCGTCCACTTCATGTTGTTAGTGCGATGGACGCTCTCACCTTTATGGACATCTGAGGTGATGTCGGGCGCTTCACGATTGCAGCTGCTGCCTTGTTTTCCTCGGCCTTCGTGCGGCTGTTATGCTGCAGGTTGTCATGTTTTGTCGGACGGTGCAATCAGTTACGCTCTTTGCGAGTGCTTCACCTTCCGCTGTGGCTTTTGGTTGCGTCCTGTTTGTTTATCTGACTTTAATCTGGTGTGCAGGGGACAGCTGTGATTGGCTCATGTAGGAAGAATGAATTGTCACTATTGGTTGATCGTGTTTAATTAAGTACGGGGAGACAAAATCACGGCAGAGATTAAAATTCAGTAAATTTGCAACCCTGAGAATTTTGCCAAAGCAGGAGGAGCCCAGGGGTCAGCTCAGGGCTCAGGTGTGTGGTTGGCAGGTAACTTGTCGCACACCTGAGGGTCAGAGGAGTGTGAGGAGGCCCTGTGAGTAAACCAAAGCATACAGAGGTTATTAAAAGTGGTAAGAGCAACACAACGAAGTGATAACTGTGACTTGAATAACTGAGTTTAATTTTTGCCATATTTGAGAAGTTGTAGTGTTTTTAGACGTGCTCTCCCTTTATGAGACTCTGGACCTGATCTGACGACAGCTGTACTAAGAGAAGCTCCTGTGATGACGTTCACAGAACTCTGGTGATTTATCCCCAAAGTTGAAACCTGTTAGGACAGCGGTCCCCAACCCCCGGGCCTTGGACCCATCATTTGGTACCGGGCCGTGCGAGTTGAGGCTTAGGTGTGAAATGTCTGGTTTTCAGGGTTTTTATCGGTTTTCAGCGTTATTTTGTTATTGTTTTGATCGTTTACTCTGTTTTCCTGGGTCTTTTCACGTGTGTTATGAATAAATCTTCTTTTTTTCGGTGCCGGTACTAGTTTTATTTTGTTGTATTTATCCGCGACACCTTAAAGGCCGGTCCGTGAAAATATTGTCGGGCATAAACCCGGCCCATGGCGCAAAAAAAGTTGGAGACCGCTGTGTAAGGAGATCAGAGCATTTTGGAGATGACTTGGAGTCAGAGCTGTTTGTATATGAAGGAAAGGGCCTCAGTGCTTCCTTTATGACAGGGATGGGGGGACTCCAGGCCTCGAGGGCCGGTGTCCTCGATCCAACACAGCTCATTTAAATCTCCTGAAGTTGTAATGAACTAATCATGTGATTCAGGTGTGTTGACCCAGGGAGTGATCTAAAACCTGCAGGACACCGGCCCTCGAGGCCTGGAGTTGGACACCCCTGCTTTATGAGCTCCTTTAGTGTAGTAAACACTTGAGGGTTCATTTATGAAAGGAGATATTTCCATTGCATAATTCATAGCAACACTGTCAGACTGAATTGAACCACAATTAATGATAATCTGGGTTTTTATTATCTGACTTTTTACTACAACCCTCATTTACAAACACTCTTTCCTGTGCCTAATCACCTTGTCTAACATTCCCACTCTCGCACTCTGGGTTCAGTATCTTGCCCGAGGGCACTTCAGCCCACTGACCTTCTGATTGGTTGTCTCCCTACCAATCAGAAGGCTGTGGCTCTTGGTCAAAGTGCATAATAGGTTCTCTGCAGTTTAGTAGTGTCTGCTGTTGTGTTGCTGTCTTACATGGTTGTTGTGACTTTTCTCTTTTGTGAGTCGGGTCAGCGATGGAGGAAATCGTAGATGACCCACAACATGAAGTGGCTTCCCTCCGCTGGTGTCCTTCACTGTGTTCATGATGATGTTTTTATGATGAAGGTTCCTTCTTCGTGTAGATGGTTCCACATTTAAGCTGCTCAGTAAGAAAATGCTGTTTTCCTCGGATCAGGAAGAACCTCAGTGAGCCGCTGCAGGTCTGTTGCTGTGGCATGGAGGGAGCTGAGGTTATACCAAACTGTCGTCTAACTGTTGTTAGACGAAGCTGGGAGCCGTCGCTGCGAGGAGCTCCGAGAGGACTCTCAGCTTCTCCTCATCATCGGGCTCACGACTGCAAATCCTTTTAAAGCAAACACCTGAGCTGATCCCACTCCTGTTTATCTCATTTAAACAGCTCAGAGGGACAAACCACACACTGCATCATTCTGAACACTTATTTGAATATGAAGTAGGGGCGATATGGCCTAAAATCCATATCGCGATATAATTTGAAGCATGTGCAGTAACGATATATATCACGATATATTCTTTTCTTCACTATAAGGACTTAAAATCCTTTAATGTTCTCAAAAATCGAGAGTGTGCCTTATGTATGAATTCTGGTTGTGCTTACTGACCTCGAACCGATTTTGGCAGAAATCTGTTAAAAAATGTTTTAGTACAACTTTGGTAAGCCGCACTGTTTGATGGATCGTCAGAGCATTACGGCTGCCGTAGGGAGGAGCTTCGCGGAGTAATCTGGGTCCAAAACTCCGTCTTCTTCAGGTCCCAAAGTCAAACGAACACTGAGAGTTAAAAACGTCTAAATTCTTTCATCTTTAATTAAATCATCAGCGTTGCTGCTTTAGCAGGTGTAACAATTAAGTTTAACATCCATGAAAACAGAATTTATTAAATTTAAAGGAGTTAGAAGTTAACAGGAAGTTAGCTCGCTAGTTTCCACCTAAACATTTCATATCATGTTCTGACAGAGATTTCTGAGAAAATTCAAACGTACAGCTCTGCTATCACTTCCAACATAAATGAAGACAGAAAACTAAACAGCAGTGGCGTTTGCAGGGTTACTGAAGTTGGGCTAGCTGGTATATAATGTTGTGCTACGTGATTGCTAGCGACACAGCTATGTTAGCATAACATTAGCACAGTGAAGCTGGAGGATGAACGCTAACTTTTTTCCACTCGATAAAAGTTAACGTGAGGGATTCTGGTGGTCAGGGACAAATGCAATCGCATAGCAGGATGCTGTACACGGGCCAAACTTCAGTCAGGAGAACAACTGAGATAATCCATCCACAATACGAGGTTAGTTATTAATATACTGCAACAACATGGGAACAGAGCAGCTGCGAGAGAATTCAGCATTAATGAATCAATGTTACGGAAGTGGAGGAAGCGCAGTTTTTGGCTTTCCCCATATTTCAAATGTGCTTCATCTCTTTGCTATGACTGTCGCCCGCCATCATTTGCAGATGATAATGGTTGTAGCCGCTGCGATGCTTTTGACCAAAACAAGCACAGCTTGATGACATCATCAACATGTGCTATCGCGATAGAGCGATATAGTCAAAATTTCTATCGTTGGCCAAATTTATATTGTTTATATCGCCCACCCCTGATATGAAGCAGAGTCTGAGCTTTAGCCCTGAGGCTAGCCATCAGTTTAGTAATCGGGTATTCTATTGATTGAGTAATTGGATACTTTTGTCTTTGAAAATGCAGTGTTATCTATAAAAAACATTTCATTTTGTATTTATCTGCTATGTTTCTTTTAAAGAAAACATCTTCGTAAGAAATTACAAGTACAGTGATGTTAAAATAAGATGCATGCCTTAGTTTTGGCTGTGTGTGTGTGAGCGCCTTTAAAGAAGCACATGGTGGCTGCAATGAAGGAAGTCGAGCGTGTCGGCATTCTCGCTATCGAAGCAAAAACTGTTAGTTTGAATAATCGAGTTATTTGATGAATCGTGGTGAGGCTGCTGCGTCATTGTCCGAGGTCTGAAAGCAGATCAGGGCTGAAACTCTCAGACAGCCTTTCATGGAGGTCGGTCACACAAGACTCTCTCAGTGTGTTTTTATCACAGCCATGTGAAATTTGTCCTTTTAAACAGCTGAATTCACAATAAAGTCATTCTCACACTGTGTGGGCCACGCCTCTGTGAACTCAGGTGTTTTTAAGCCTGAGTGGCACAGGCGTATAAAATCCAGCACCTGCAAACTGGAAGTGCACAAAGAGCCGTCCATGGAGGTATCTCAGGCCCGCGATGTGAACGTCCCACACACACTGACGTCTTGTAGGAAGTCTTCCAAGATCTAGTGGGGGTTCATAAAAGCTGCAGGTCTGTGTGGACAGAAAGGGTGTGATTGAATCCCCGCCCACATTAATGCTGTCTAGTACTGACAGTGATGCTTCCTCTGTAGTCTTTTATCATGCAGTTTACTGTAGAGTCAGTTGAGCAATAGCAACAAAGAGCAGAGAAATGCAAAGATTTGTCTGAGAACAGAGTGCAGACACGCAGCAGTGTGAAAACAGCAGAACAGCATCAAACATGAGTGCATGAACATCTGCTGCATCAGCAGCTGAAGGTCACAGTTCTTGTCTTCCTTGAGGTTTTGTCGCTGAGAGCAGACCAGAAATCAGAGGCTGATTTGCTGTTCTTTATCATTTAGCCTGGAGAAACGGTTTGTTGCTTTATAAGAAATCATCACTGTTTGAAGAAAATAAGAACAACCCAGGTTTCTCTTCAGCTCTGTAGCCAGGCTGACAAACAGAGCTCTGTTGAGCCAACCATCCCTTTAACGTTAACGTTTAACGTTCATAACTTCTTCACTAATAAAATGTTGGTCAGCAGACCTGATGTGCTCGATGCTCAGGTTGAGCAGATGTGACTGCAGCTGTTTTCTTGTTGTAGGTCACTGACACTCTGGAGTACATCAAGTCGGACCACCACGTGGACCTACAGTGTTACTACACCACCGATCTGAGCGCGCTCAAGTCGGAGTACCCCGAGACCAACGCCATGTCCGCCCACCTGCAGCACAACGGCCTCGAGTCCATCCACATGGCCGAGCTGCGCACGGAGCTCAACAAGCTGCGCCCCGACTCCCTGCACTTGGACAGCATCGGCAAACCGGACGCTGAGTTCGGAGGGGGGGCGCTGTACGAGCTGCAGCCCACACACGTGGGGAAGTCCTCCACAGAGGCGATGATGGCGGCAGGAAGGGCAGGAGGGAGTCTGGTGGTCACGACTAAAACACAGAGCCCAACGGTGAGGAAACCTCGCAACATGCAGGGTGAAAAACCATTCTCCTGCACGCAGTGCGGGAAAAACTTCAGCACGCTGGGAAACCTGAAAACGCACCAGCGCATACACACGGGCGAGCGGCCGTACACCTGCTCACAGTGCGGCAAGAGCTTTGGCCAAGCGGGCAACCTCAAGCGGCATCAGCTCATCCACACAGGCCAGAAGCCGTACGTCTGCGCCCACTGCCCCAAAGGCTTCACCAAAGCCGACGACCTGCGCTCACACCAGCGGCTGCACACCGGCGAGCGCCCGTTCATCTGCACCACCTGCGGCAAGAGCTTCAGCCAGTCCAAGGAGCTGAAGGCGCACCACCTGAGCCACACGGGCGAGCGTCCGTACTGCTGCCAGCACTGCGGCAAGAGCTTCACCAAGGAGACGAGCTACCGCAACCACGTCCAGATCCACACCGGCGAGAAGCCCTTCACCTGCTCGCAGTGCGGAAAGACTTTCAGCAACTCGGGCGTCTTAAAAACCCACGAGAAGATCCACACGGGCGAGCGGCCGTTTGGCTGCACGCAGTGCGGGAAGAGCTTCGGCCGTCTCGGCCACCTGAAGGCGCACCAGCAGATCCACACGGGCGAGCGGCCGTACGCCTGCCCCCAGTGCGGGAAGACTTTCAGCCAGTCGGGCCACCTCAAAGCACACGAGCAGATCCACAAGCGAGAGCGAGCGGACACGGCGAGCACCAGCAGTGACGGCGGCAGCAGCGCCGTGGGCAGTGACAGTAGCTAACTGCAAACCCTTTAACCTCCGGAAAAACAAAGTATTATTCCTTTTTTTTTTTATAAATACGATATATAAAGCTTTTCCTCATGAGTTTTTCTTACATTTTCATACCTTTTGTGCTCTTTTTGCATTTTATCTGTGGGCAGGGCGGACTGACGCATTTGCTCTTATGCAAGTGTCTGTGTGTGCACACACGTTATATACCGTGTGTCTGGGGTGGTGGGTGGGTGGGTGGGGCTGTAGATAATCTTTAAACTGGACTGACTGTAGAGTACCAGGACTTATTTTTGGAGACCTTAACAAGCACAAATACTTAAGAGACCAACAGTTTGAGTACTTCATTTTTGTATTTCCTGTTTTTTACTGACTCAGACCAGCAGTTCCTGACAGACCGTGACCCCGTTTACCGAAAACTGCACACTCACGGCACTGACACGCCATCTCGGTACGCTCTAAAGGAACACGAAAGGGTCCAAAATCCCAGCCTCCCATTCTACAGCGCGCTAGAATCGGGCTTCGTAGTCCAGTCACTCTGTGTTGTCGCTGATAACTGATGGAAGCTTTATCCTTCCTCTGTAACTTAAATCTATGTGACCCGAACAATATCGGCTGCAGTTCTGATTCATTCAGGTTTCTGTGAAATATCTCACGAGTCTGCTGTGCTCTCCACCGTCCCTGCAAAGAGATCAGCCTGGAGAAATAGTTTGCTGCTTTATAAGAAAGCCCTCCGCAAAGCCAGAACATCTTACTATTCATCACTGATTGAAGAAAATAAGAACAACCCCAGGTTTCTCTTCAGCTCTGTAGCCAGGCTGACAAACAGTCAGAGCTCTGTTGAGCCAACCATCCCTTTAACATTAACTAGTAATGACTTCATGAACTTCTTCACAAATAACATTTTTATCATTAGAGAAAAAATTACCAGTAATCATCCCACAGATGTAATATTATCTACAGCTACTCTTAGTACCATTGATGTTAAGTTAGACTCTTTTTCTCCAATTGATCTTTCTGAGTTAACTTCAATAATTACTTCCTCCAAACCATCAACGTGTCTTTTAGACCCCATTCCTACAAAACTGCTCAAAGAAGTCCTGCCATTAATTAATTCTTCGATCTTAAATATGATCAACCTATCTCTAATGATCGGCTATGTACCACAGGCCTTCAAGCTGGCTGTAGTTAAACCTTTACTCAAAAAGCATCTCTAGACCCAGCAGTCTTAGCTAATTATAGGCCAATCTCCAACCTTCCTTTATATCAAACATCCTTGAAAGAGTAGCTGTCAAACAGCTAACAGATCATCTGCAGAGGTTTATTTGAAGAGTCAAAGGAGCTTGCAAAGAAAAGCGTCTGGACTTCTTTAAGTTGCTTGAAGACGTTTCACCTGTGCTGCAGTGGTTTGTATCATATCTATCTAATAGACTCCAGTTTGTGCATGTAAATGGAGAGTCCTCTTCACACACTGAGGTTAATTATGGAGTTCCACAGGGTTCAGTGCTAGGACCAATTCTGTTTACATTATACATGCTTCCCTTAGGCAGTATCATTAGAAGACATAGCATACATTTACACTGCTATGCAGATGACACCCAGCTCTATCTGTCCATGAAGCCAGATAACACACACCAATGAGTTGAACTGCAGGAATGTCTTAAAGACATAAAGACCTGGATGGCCGCTAACTTTCTGCTTCTTAATTCAGATCAAACTGAGGTTATTGTACTCGGCCCTGAAAATCTTAGAAATATGGTCTCTAACCAGATTCTTACTCTGGATGGCATTACCTTGGCCTCCAGTAACGCTGTGAGGAACCTTGGAGTCATTTTTGACCAGGACATGTCCTTCAACGCACATATTAAACAAATATGTAAGACTGCTTTCTTCCATTTGTGCAACATCTCTAAAGTTAGAAATATAGAAGCTGATCACAAACTTAGTTACTGATCAGAGCTCAGATTTTTTTTTTACAGGAACTGTAACTTTTTACAGTGTTGCTGTTGTAGTAAAACCTACAAACTAGCTGGAATGGTTTGGTCTACACTAGGCTTTTATTTTGAAACTCGGTGGAATCTCTGTGCCTATTCTGTCCAGCCGGGGGATTGTTAGTTTTTTTGTTTTGTTTTGTTTTTTTTCTTTCTCTTATACTTGTCAGCCGGAAGTGACTTGAATGCGTGGCGTTCACTGACAGCAGAACGATCAGCGGTCCCGCTCGTGGAAAGGGAAGCTCGCTGTTCTTCCAGTTTTGATTTTTCTCATTGATTCTCGAGGGTAACCTTGTGGGCGATAAACGGGTGTAGTGGGTCATGAGGTTGAGCCACAGCTGCAACATGAAGCCCCTAACAGAGCCTTCAGTATTCTCATAAGTGTACGACGTTCGTGTCTGCGAGCTCGCGTGAATCTGACCTTGGACCGACTCTGTTACAGCGTTGTAGTTTTTATGTGAAAAGAAGAAACGTCGCATTTCTCGGTGAACGGGGTCTGACCTCTTCAGGTTCGTCCATTTGTGTTTTTGGCAGTCAAAGTACTTAAACTCAGGTGAGAGTACTTCCTGCCAGTTTACTAGTATTTTACTTGCAGGTGTGGGTACTCGCAGGATGTGGATGTACTGTTAAACTCTTTGATCTTTTCCACGTTTTTATTGAGCAGTATTGATTGATCGGGACACGGCAGGCGTCTTTTTGTTGCTGATGATAATCACGTGACGGTTTATTATTATTATTATTATTATTATTTTAAATAATTTGTTAAAGTCAGTTTTTACCGTTGTTGGGCTCCAGAGGACCAAAATTCATCATCAGCACAAAGGAGCCCAACCCCCCGTCTAGATCGCTCACTGTGTACAAATCTATTGATTATGTCATTCCTACAAAATAAAATGTAATAAAAGTTAAAAAAAGAGAAACAGAAGGTGGAGGCAATTGAGCATCTTGTACTGGAAGAAAGTTAATAAAGAAACTAATGATACATGTTGCAGTTTCCGTCTGTTTCTGCTGGAATGTGTCGGCTTGTTTTCAGAAACAGGAAGTCTGCCGTCCTCACAGAGTCATGAGGGGGGGGGGGTTATCTATTGAGACCAAACAGGTTGTATGGAAACAAACTCAAAAGCTTTAACATGGGAGTCTATGGGGACTGACTCACTGCTGCCTCTGCTGGACACCAGAGGAACTGCAGGTAGGAGCTGCTGTTGTTCGGTTTCTAACGCCGAAACATGTCCAGCAAAAATGCTGAGAACTAGTTTTTGAAACATCCTGCAGGTATCCTCCACCTCAGAGTAAGAGCTGTGCCATAAAAATATGGATGATTGTGAATAATAAGCTGGAGTAGTTCATCTTACTGTGATCGATTTCTTTAACAGCTGATGCAAAGATGTATATGTTTTGAATTTCTGTTCATGAAGCAGAAGAAACAGTTGCTATGAGGTGAAAAGGATGTGAAGGTGAGTTTTAAAAATACTTTTTACTGCCTTTGGTTGATATTTGAGAATAAAGACGTTTCGTTTGAGTAACGCGGAAGTTTGTGAGCACAGACATTCATTTCAGACACTTTTTGGGTTTTGTTGCGTTTTATTTGTTGAAGCGGAACACAGAAGACCTGCAAGCACAGCAGTAAAGTTTCACCAGCATAAGCCAAGAAAATGCTTCCCCTCACAAACCCTCCATCTTTAGACCGCCTGTGGTTTCCTGTGAAGCAGGAAACTGGTATGATGTGAAGGTGAGAAGCGATCTTCAGGTGGAGGTGTGCACTCGCCCAGCATGAAGGACGGTGAAGAAAGGTGGAGATCCGACTCCAACCCCGGGCAGGCAGACACGTGATTGGCCTCAGATGGTTTCCTCCACAACCTTTGTGATGATTGTTTTGGTTGTGGTGGAGGTAGAGGAGGAGAGCGAAGATCTGCGTGGGAAATGAGACAAAGCTGGTCAGAGATGCTCGTCTGAAAAGCAGAACCCGCTCACACGTTTACAGGTAGGTGCTGTAGTGCAACTCCCAAGTTTCCAACATCAGTTGACCAAAATGAGCAGAAGCCAAAACATCTACAAACTGAAGTAAAAACGAGTGCCAGACGGTGGTTTTGTGTAATGCCAGTTTGCACCACAAGAGGGCACAAAGAGGCAGTGCAACTTCCTGTGACCAGCAGGACAGGAAGAACATGAATGTGAGTTTGGACACTGTCAGGCTCCTTAGATAAACACTCTTTTTCTTCTAAGCTAACGAGGAGCTTAAATTCTGCATATTCAGAAAACTGTGGTGAACAGTTTACTTCTATTTTACAGAGGGGAATTACACAATGTACCATTAAAGGTACATTGATCAGGACGTTCCAGATTGAACTAATGTTAGCAGCCGATGGTAACACTAAAACTAAGGATATTTCCTCTGTATATTTAAGTTTTCCAAGTAACCTCTGTAAGGAGAAGGAGGAGAGAGCAGGGCCACAGAGAGCCGAGGCCGTCCTGGTGAGCTCTTCTTACCCGCCTCCCTCTCCGTCGAGCAGCCTCCTGTACTCGGCGATCTCCAGCTCTAGTCTGGTCTTGATGTCCAGGAGAATCTGGTACTCCTGTCCCTGCCTCTCCAGGTCTGCTCTGAGCTGCACCAGCTGCTCCTCCAGACTGCTCACCTGCACAGGTGAACCCGGTGTGAGTGTAAAAGCTGAAAGCAGCTGACGGAACATTTGGATGCGACCCCATGAGAGCAGAACTCACCCTCATCTGGAATCCTTCCATCTTCATGCCGTAGCTGCCCTGGACTTCGGTGAGTTGGGCTTCAAGGGACATTTTCTGTAAAAACATGAGCAGGTCAGAGACAGAAGCTCTACCTGTGGATGAGGTCGTGACATTGGGCTACATTTCAGCCACCTCTCTGCGACTCAGGATTTTAGGAATCAGAGGAAACGAGGCCACGATGTGAAGATGTAACTGAACCAGCCTGATGTTACTCCCCAGGGAGGATTTTCTAAAACCCAGAACTTAGGACCCTCACAATTCCTGTTCTTTGACTTTGTCCTTTGACATTTTGAATGAGGACCCCTCTGTGCCCTCTTCTAACTCCCTCTGTCCAGCAGCCTCCGGCACTAAC